CTAGAAAATAAATCTATATGGGAGCCCAGTACCCTCAACTAATAATGGTATTATGGTATCATGACAGATAACATGTCCTGGTTGAAACATGGCTGTTCTCTCTTCTTAGCCCTTCTACTTTTTTTTTTTTTTTTTTTACCTGAGGGAGTAGTTTGAGCAAACAGTTGACCCTTGGTTTTTTTTTTTTTTGCATCAGCAAATTTATTTTTTATTATCTTTAATACAAAAGGGTTTCAATTCAGTATGTCAAATTTGTGAGTACCAATCATCTTGATCAGTGTTACCTCTTTCATCTTTTTTTCCCCATCATTCCCAAACCCACCCATCTTCTTAATTTACCTGGTTACATTTGCACATATGGATATTGAATATTATGCCTGCATTCACTCACTGTTCCCTCTCCATTTACCTGTCCCCTTGCCTCCTCCCCACTTCATCTCCTACACAACACATGGCCGAGCTTCTTGGTACTCTTTTTGTCAAACTGTAAGTTAGTTGTTCAAAGGAGTTACAACCATTGTAATCCTTCTCAGCATATATCATACTTTAGATAATATTTGTGTATAAATGCACATGACCCCTGTATATGTTCAAATATATATTTATCATTTAGATCTAAGTTCCACATATGAGAGAAAATGTGTATCCTTTGTTTCTCTAAACCTGACTTTTCCTCCTCATCATCAAGAATACAAACAAGAACAGATGCTGAAGAGTCAGTGAGAGATAAAGGAACCCTATTACACTGTTGGTAGGAATGTAAACTGGTGCAACTACTTTGGAAAGCAGCTTGGAGATTCCTCAAAAAAACTAAACAAAGAACCTAGCAATACCACTCGAGCATTTATCCAAAATATTTCAGTCAGGATGCAATGCACACACTTGGCACACCCATGTTCATTGCTGCATTAGCAAGTTTGGCTTCCAGGGCTGTAAAAGGACCAGAATCTCAGGACACTTTGTATCTGAGAACATCATTTACCTCTTTAAAATAATACTCAAAGTGCAAATATATTCTAGTTGAATTTCCTCAGTGGATGTTTTGATTGTGAACCTGTGTATCTAAGGGTTGTGATCACTCTTAGCTTTGCATTACTATAATGAAATATCCCAATTGGGCTAGCTTTATGAAGAAAAGAGGTTTGTTTAGCTTATAGTTTTGGAGGTTCAATGACAAGGTGCTGGCTTAGTTCAGGACCTCATGGCTAATAGTATTACAATTGTGGGAACAAATGCAGAAGGAAGAAATCACTTCTAAAACAGGAAGCCAGAGAGCAGGGTAAGTGATAGTTGGCTGTTTTTATAGTAGCGTTCTTGAGAACTCCCAAAGGATTCCATGAGAATCCCTTAATCATTTACTAGGGCAATGCTCTCAGGGGTCTAAGGACTTCTCACTGGGGCCTCACCTTGGCCCCACCTCCTAAAGGTTAATACTGTCACTCTTGGTGACCAAGACTATAATACACAGACCCTTGTGGGACAAAGCTCATCCAAGTACCTGCAAAAACTGTCTAAATAGGTGACTCTTTTCCAGGCTACTTATTAAAATCACTTCACAGTGGTGATTCTGATGCCTGGGCCCCATTTCAGATCAGTTCAGTACAAGTCTGATGGGTGGGACTCAAGCATCCTATATTTTCCTTTTTATCAAAAGCTCTCCTTGTAGATCCAGGGAAAGGTGGGCTTGTTGAAAATTACTGGTATAATTTATTTCTATACACTAATAAAATTGTGTTTATTCCATACTGAGCGGCTATTTTCTGTGCTCAGTAATCTTCTCTTTATGACTCCACTTGGAAAACTATAATTAAAATGTAAATTTAGAAAAAATGAAATTATATGTATTGAAAAGAGAAGATCTGGGAACCTATTAACATAGTTACATATGTAGTATTAATATTCATGATACATCATCAGTTGAAGAATTGTAAAATCAGTCATCATTTATCAGGAGTATTGTATCCCTTCATCTAGGAAAAAGGAGTCTGTTTTATTTAAAGTCACGTGTCATTATTGAAATAGTGGATAGTAATGTGAGCATTACTGTTGAGAGAAATCTCTAATGGAATTTTGAAGTCAGTAGCTTTCAGAATTTCATGGTCAATGTTATGAAATAATCGAGTTGTTTTGAGCATCAATTGGATAACCCAGAAGAAATAAGATGACAAAAACTCTGTCTGATCCTTTAGAGTCTCAGTTCTTATATGCTGAACAATGTCTTTATATTAGACTGGGCAAGATTGGTAAACCGTGGCCTTTGTGCCAAGTTCAGCTTTTTTTTCCCCAGAAATACTTTTATTGGAACACAAGCATGTTCATTCATTTAATTATGGCATGTGGCTGCTTTGGAATTCCCAGGCAGAGATGAATAGTTGTGACAAAGGTTGTGTAGTGGACAAAGCCTAAGCTATTTATTCTCTAGCCATTTGCAAAAAGTTTGACAACCCCTGTTAGTCTATTTTATCATACATTATCTGCAACATGGGTCATTTTAAGCTGAATTTGATCTTTTATACACAAGTAACTAGAAATGAATAATATAGTGTTTGAGGACTTTCAAGTAGAGATTGCAGTTGAGGGAGAGATTTGCCTTGGTAACAAGGAAAGTAAGCTACCTGTCTTCTTGAGGAGTCTACTGTAGGGGACCAGCAGCTTTGCTCACTTACCTGGGGCATTTATTTCCTTGCCCAGATCATCCACTATGTTCTCCCACCCGTGTTGATGGGCAGGCACGTGATAGCAGGCACTTAACTTTCTCACACATCTTGCTAAGAGTGGAAGATTAGAGCTATTTAGTTTTTTAATCTTTGTCCAAATAGGGGGTTAAAGAAGGTAGAGGGAAGTCTGTTGGAGAGAGCATATCTGACTCAGATCTGCTAATCTCAGTGCCATAGAGCTACCTCTGAACTGCCAGTTACTTCTGTCTACCTGGGGCACTTGAATGTTAGTTAAGACCCTCGTCCACTTTCTGGGTTCCTTGCACCTAGAAAAGGAGTACCTGCAAGTGGAGAGTTAAAGCTAAATATTTTTTTTTGCTTTCTAAGATCACAATTCCCCTTTCTAACATGTAAAACTGTTAATCAACTTTTGGTCCCTTGACTTTGTTACTTTTGTAGAAAGATAGTGCATGGAAAGCAAGAAATCGCCTATCAGTGAAAGAAGATGTAATGACATTCTGGTAAACATTAGCACCAGAGCCACACATTTAGACTGGTCATCTTTTTGTTTTGTTTTTGTTTTTGAGACAGGGCCTTACTGTGTAGACCAGGCTACCTTCAAACTTATGATACTTTTGCTTTAGCCACTGAGTTCTGGGATTAGATTTTTAGCCTACTAAGCCTGTCTGTGAAGTTATGTCTTGATAATAATGCCAGGGTAATTTTTCATTTGAGAGTGGTTAGGCTCCTATACATTTTCATTAATAAATGTTTAGTAATTTTTATGACTCCAGAATTTTTTTTTTAAACCAGTCCTGGGGCTTGAACTTTGGGCCTGGGCACTGTCATTGAGCTCCTTTTGCTCAGGGCTAGCACTCTACCACTTGAGCCCCAGTGTCACTTCCGGCTTTTTCTGTGATTAATGGAGATGTGTCTCAGGGACTTTCCTATCCACGTTGGCTTTGAACCTCATTCCTCAGATCTCAGTCTCTGTGTACCTAAGATTATAGGCGTGAGCCACTTGCACCCAGATGACTTTGGATTTTTTTTTTTTGGTTGGTTGTGGTGCTTGAACTCTGGGCCTGGGCACTGTCTCTCAGCTCTTCAGCTCAGGCTAGCGCTCTACCACGTGAGCCACAGTGCCATTTCCTTTTTTTTTTTTTTTTTGTGGTTTATTGGAGATAAGAGTCTCATGGACTTTCCTGCCCAGGGGCTAGCTTTGAACCTAGGTCTTCAAATCTCAGCCTCCTGAGTAGCTAGGATTACAGGCGTGAGCCACTGGTGCTCGGCTTCCAGAATATTTTTTTTTTGGGGGGGGGGAGCGGGGGTCTAGTAGTAGGCCTGAACTCTGGGCCTGGGTGCTGTCCCTCAGCTCTTCAGCTCAAGGCTAGCGCTCTACCACCTGAGCCACAGCGCCACTTCCGGCTTTTTTCTTTTTGCTTATGTGGTGCTGGGGAATCGAACCCAGGGCCTCAAGCATGCAAGGCAAGTGCTCTACCACTGAGCCACCTTCCCAGCCCCTCCAGAATATTTTTATAAAATATTTAAAATTATTTTAGACCCAAATTTTTTGCATAATACCTAATTATTTCATTTGGGTCTAGATCTATGCCTGAAAAGACTTTGTCTGGGTATAATTGTATGCAACCTTACTAAATTAATGTATGTTAAAAGATTATTCTGCTTGTTGAATTTTCTTTTTCTGAGGTACATAAGGAATATGAGACCTGTATTTGGCTCAATTTTGTAAGCTGTGATGGTTCAAGTGCTCATAGTATTTTTGCTTTCATAGTGTGATAAGGCAGTGAAGGCAATGGCATTAATGAAAGCAAGTTGAATTACTTAGAGTAAGATTAAGAAGGAGACTTGTGGACATTCTGGAGGTTGAAACAGGAAGATTGCCAGTTTAAGCCACACAGTGAAATTTTGTTTAAAAAAAAAGAAAGAAAAGAAAAAAAACCCAAACATCAATGATGAACTTTTTCTTATGTAAAATTTTGAGCACTTTATTTTATTTTATTTTTGTTGGTTGAACTCAGGGCCTAGGCACTGTCCCTGATCCTCTTTGTGCTCAAGGCTAGTGCTCTACCATGTTAAGCCACAGCCCCATTCTGGATTTTGAGTAGTGGTTAATTGGAGATTTGTCTCACAGGGACTTTCTTGCCCCAGCTAGTGTGGATCCTCAGATCTTGGCCTCTTGAGTAGTTAGATTACAGGAGTGAGCCACCAGCACTCAGCTTAAGCACTTTAAAGGTTTACTTAGCTATGTTTATGATCAGTGTTCTTTTTTTTAAAGTGCTCCCCTTGTCCTCCACTAACTCTGATCCCTTCTTTTTAAAATAGGTCAGCGACTATCGCCTGTTCCACAAGATGAGTAACAGCCATCCCTTGCGCCCCTTCACTGCCGTGGGGGAGATTGATCATGTGCACATTTTGTCTGAACATATTGGTGCCTTGTTGATTGGGGAAGAGTATGGTGATGTCACGTTTGTTGTGGAAAAGAAACGGTTCCCTGCCCACAGGGTGATTTTAGCCGCCAGGTGCCAATATTTTCGGTAAGTATAGTATTGTTTTTTGAAGATTCAAGTCACTTGGAGAAAACATTGGTATTTTCTCCTCTATGAGAATATATAAACAAGCAGAGACAAATGTGAGCAATTTTTCAACTCAGCATCTGTAAAAAAGTCCATCTTTATTGACTTCTTGTTATTTTTTGTTTTGAGACTTACCTTAGAAATGAAAACTTAGGGCTGGGAATGTGGCTCAGTGGTAGAGTGCTTGCCTCGCATGCATGAGGCCCTGGGTTCGATTCCTCAGCACCACATAAGCAGGAAAAAAAAGCCGGAAGTGGCACTGTAGCTCAAGTGGTAGAGTGCTAGCCTTGAGCTGAAGAGCTGAAGGACAGCGCCCAGGCCCAGAGTTCAGGCCCACGACCGGAGGGCCCCCACCCCCCAAAAAAAGAAATGAAAACTTAGAAAGTGTATCTTTCACACAGTACTGGTCAACTATTTTCAACTATTTCTCCTTACAGTAGATGACTAATGTGAGTTACACTAATGTACTAGCAGATAGACTTCTCGTTGTAGGTAAGCTGCTCTTCCAATTAGCTAATGGACATATGCCTCTTGGTTTCAGACAACTGAGGTCTAGGACCTATAAGCAACCTCTTAGACATAAAATTTGACATTTCTAAGTATTTACTGAAACTAAGTTTCATAGCTCTTAGAATCAAGACAAAACTTTTTTTTTTTTTGTCAGTCATGGGGCTTGAACTCTGGGCCTGGGACACCTTGGGCTAGCACTCTACCACTTGATCCACAGCGCCACTTCCTGCTTTTTCTGCTTAGGTGGTGCTGAGGAATTGAACCCAGGGCCTCATGCATGCAAGGCAAGCACTCTACTACTGAGCCACCTTCCCAGTCCCTGTTGTTTGTTTTTATTTTATATCTTCCATTTAGAGTTGAGCTTGAAACTGCCTATTAACCTTTGACATCTTTACCCTGGTATGGAATTAATTTAAAATTATGGAATTTATGGAATTAATTTAAAATTATTTTTAAAACAATTTCTCTTTAGGGTGCAGGTGGCTCATGTAATCCTAGCTACTCAGGAAGCTGAGACTGAGCATCTAGGTTTCAAGACAAATCTGAGAGATACCTATCCCCAGTTAATAAGCAAAAAGCCAGAAGTGAAAGTATAGCTCAAATGATATAGCATCAGCAGCATTAACTTTGAATGAAGAGTTCTAAGCAAGAACATGAAGCCCTGGGGTCAAGACACAATATTGGTGTGCATTCACACACACAAATCATTCTTTTTCTTGGTGGTACTAAGGTTTGAACTCAGGACCTCATGCTTGCTAGGTAGGTACTTTGCATTTGAGTCATACCCCAGCTGGCTTCTTGATTTCTTTACAGAACCATTTAGATGATTACTTTTTGTTTCTTTACTTGGGTCTTTGTTAAGCAAATTTATGATTAAATAGTATTATTAGCAATTATTTAATGTATTTTATAGCAAATCCTATTTGAAATTTCACTCCTACATTTCTTCTCTTCTGATGTGCAGAGCATTACTGTATGGTGGAATGCGAGAGTCTCAGCCTGAAGCAGAAATCCCTCTGCAAGACACCACTGCAGAAGCATTCACAATGCTGCTTAAATATATCTACACTGGGAGGGCAACACTGACAGATGAGAAGGAGGAGGTGCTGCTGGATTTTTTGAGTCTGGCTCATAAATATGGATTTCCAGAGCTGGAAGATTCTACCTCTGAGTATCTCTGTACCATACTCAACATTCAGAATGTCTGTATGACTTTTGATGTTGCCAGTCTGTACTCACTTCCCAAGTTAACATGTATGTGCTGCTTATTCATGGACAGAAATGCTCAGGAGGTACTCTCAAGTGAAGGTTTTCTCTCCCTTTCCAAGGTATATAATAGTCTGCAAGTAATTTGTTGTAAGCATCCATTACTTTATGTCTTTATAGTGATAATACAGCATTGACTGAGATTGAGGAAATAGAGATTATTGGTACCAAAGAGATTGTCTGGTTTCACTATTTCTGCATCCTGGAGCTCTCTCTCTCTCTCTCTCTCTTTCTCTCTCTGTCTTTCCCAGTCTTAAGTTTGAATTCAGGGCTTTGAGCAAGCTCAGTGGTGCTGTACCACTTGAATAATGGCTTTTTGCTGATTATTATTATTATTTTTTTGTCGGTTGTGGGGCTTGAACTCTGGGCCTGGGCGCTGTCCTTCAGCTCTTCAGCTCAAGGCGAGCGCTCTACCACTTGAGCTACAGCACCACTTCCGGTTTTCTGGTGGTTTATTGGAGATAGGAGTCTCACGGTCTCTCCTGCCCGGGCTGGCTTTGAACCACGATCCTCAGATCTCAGCCTCCTGAGTAGCTAGGATTACAGGCGTGAGCCACCAGCGCCCGGCTTGCTGATTATTTTTTAAGTTTTATACCCAGGCTGCCTTTGAACTGTGATCCTTGGAGTTCATGAACCACCAGTGCCTGACTTGTTATTTATTTATTTGTTGTTTTTCTTCTTCTCTCCCTGCACTTTGCCAGTCTTGTAGCTTGAACCTGGGCACTATTCCTGATCTTCTTTTGCTCAAGGCCTATCTCTTGAGCCACAGTGCCACATCCAGCTTTTTCTGTTTATGTGGTACTGAGGAATCGAACCCAGAGCTTCATGCATGTGAGGCAAGCACTCTACCACTAACCCACTTTCTCAGCCCCTATCTCTCAGTTTTAAAGATCTTTTGGTGTGGATTATGTGGAAAAGAGATTGTTCTTTAGTGTTTTTAATGTGATGACAGATATGATTCTTTGTGGTCTTACAGACACTTTTTGGTTTCATTTTCTCTGATAGAGAACATAGAGAATACAACTAATAGTTCTTTAAGAGGAAAATTTCTAAAGTAGAAATCATTGAAGGTCTCTAAGTTACTGCATTTATTTATTTATTTATTTATTTTCTTGGGGGTCTGGTCGTGGGGCCTGAACTCTGGGCCTAGGTGCTGTCCCTCAGCTCTTCAGCTCAAGGCTAGCACTCTACACTTGAGCCACAGCGCCACTTCCAGCGTTTTTCTTTTTGCTTATGTGGTGTTGAGGAATCGAACCCAGGGCCTCATGCATGCAAGGCAAGCACTCTACCACTGAACCACCTTCCCAGCCCCAGTTACTGCATTTATACATTGGCTCAAATTCATCATTACAGCTCAAGTAAAAATACCTTGCTCAAATCTTTTCTGAACTCTGAGTGGTGGTAGTCTCTCTCTTTTTTGTGTTCCTCTTGATGTGTTGCATAACTCAAGTGAGATGTCTTGAAAAGCCAAGTTTGAGTATAAACATTTTTTACTATCCTACTTAATTTTTACAGGCAAGATTTTTTAGGTAGTACTTGTGTTGATGGAGTCAGTGTTGGGAGCTGAGAACAACAACAAAAAATGGTAGTGCAAAATCAAAATATTTTGACTTTTAAGTGCCAGAGGTATCCTTATTGACCTACAAATACGCACTCTTCTAAAGAACCTGTTTACTAGGTACTTGGAAGGTAGAGATCAGGGGTTAAGGTTTGGGGCAATTTAAGGCTGGCCTGGGCAAAAACATTTTCTAGACTCCATCTCAACCAGTGGCTAGATGCTGTACTATGTACTTATCATCCCAGGAGGAGGTAGAAATAGGATTGCAGTCTAGGCCAGCCTGAATATGACGTGAGACCCTATGTTGAAAATAATGAACACATAAAAAGAATGATGGAGTGGCTTAAGTGGTAGTGCAACTACTTAGCAAACATGAGATCCTGAGTTCAAACAAAATTATTGCCAAAAAGAAAAAAAACAATATGTTGATAAGACTTCACTTTGATATTTTAAGCAAAATTGTTGAGATTGGTATTAGAAAGGATTAAGTTTAGAATAATAGTTTTTTATGTAGTGGTACAGAATGCCTGGGCAGGAAAGAAAGGCGCTACCATCCTTTCTTAATATTCACAGAGCTGTAAGGGTCAAGAGAGTATTGGCACAAAGTATAAAGAAATAAGAGGGTCAAAAAGAATTGTCTAAATATAAGTAATTTCAATGGTTCTGTAAAGGTTTACTGATTGATCATGCACATGATTGGGCCCCATCATAATTGGTTTTTCTCTTTATCCTTTTCAGGCAGCACTTTTAAACATCGTGTTAAGAGATTCATTTGCAGCCCCTGAAAAAGATATTTTCTTAGCCTTGTTAAACTGGTGTAAGCACAATTCAAAGGAAGATCATGCTGAAATTATGCAGGCTGTTCGTTTACCTCTGATGAGCCTCACCGAACTTCTGAATGTTGTGAGACCTTCGGGACTGTTGTCTCCTGATGCTATTCTGGATGCTATTAAAGTACGATCAGAGAGCCGGGATATGGACCTCAATTATAGAGGCATGCTCAGTAAGTTCTGTTTTCCCTAACTCACCAAGAACTTTTGCTTGCATTTTATGCCATTCTCAACTACAAAAGTAGCTGGAGAACTGCAGTGCTTGTATACATGATATACACAAAACCATAAACACATAACGCTGTCTTCTGTAGCATGTCTTTTCCTGACATCCTCAAGTTCATTTTTCCTGATATTGCGTAGCCATTACAGACCTCAATAGGTATTTCTTGCCACTCTGGAATGGATTTCTCCAATTGCTCTGCAGAATGTTAGAAAAAGACACTTTGCTGAAAATTTTATTCTTGTGTTAAGGCTTTACCTCCCTTTCTCCATCAAGCAAGTACTAAGGACACGCTTCATACTTATTATTAGGTAATATAAACCTTGATGTTCCAAATAACAGCCACAATAGGTAATATTAACAGAGCATGTCTAGCACTTATGTTGTGAGTTTTCTTATCAATGAAAAAATAATAGTAATTAACACAAAATGTTTATGGTGTATTGAGATTAGTTCCTACATGATCATGTAATTCTGACAGTCCTTTCAGGGACTATTTTTAATTACATTTTATAAATGAGGAAAGTGATGCACAGAGAAATTAGATAGTTTGCCCAGTGTCACACAGAAAGGTGAGATGCTCTGAGTTGAACCTATTGTTTGGCTTCAGAGGCCATGTAATTTACTACTAAACTATGCTGCATATGTACAAAACATACTCTCTGTCTTGGAACTTTTAAATTTCATCATGGAAGCAAAATATAACACCTGTGGTAATTTAAATATAGCAGCTTTCAAGAGGGGTACATGCTGTGGAAATTCAGAAGAGTGCCTTAGGATGATGGAGGAAGATTTCATGTAGATTATGAAACTTGAGTTTGATTTGAAGGAATCAAAGCATGAGGAACCATGACTAGAGTATTTTGATTACAACAGAAGGTTTATATTGGTTCATAATAGTGTATAGGTCACTTGAAGCCAAATCATGAAACAGTTGAAATCTCCTTTTTTTTTTTTTTTGGCTAGTCCTTGGGCTTGAACTCAGGGTCTGGGTACTTTCCCTGAGTCTTTTGCCCAGGCTAGCACTCTACCACTAGACACAGTGCCACTTCTGGATTTTTCTGTTTATGTGGTACTGAGGAATTGAACCCAGGGCTTCATGCATACTGACAAGCACTCTACCACTAAGCCACATACCCAGCCCCTTAAATCTCCTTTATATGTAGCAAGGAGCTAATTTTAAGAGAGGGAATCATCTGTGTACAGTGGTTTGTAAAGATTGTCCCAAAGGAAAAAACAGAGCTAGTAAGACCAATGAAGTGAGAATTTAATCTCTGCACAGTTGATACGGCTTTAAACCAGAATGGTTTAAATGAAAAATAAATATATAGAATAAATAAAAATAAATATATAAAAGGAATATTGTGGAAAAATAGTACATCTTGGTGTGATATAAGGGGTTTAAATTTGGAGATTAAGTTTAGAATAAAGTTACCATATTTTCTCAACTTTCTGCTGCATCACATCACAATGTCTACATCCCAACTTCAGAAGTGCTAAAATTTGAAAAATGTATGATTTACAGCTAATGAAATATGGTACTTCCTTAAAGAAGATGCTAAGCTTGTTTTAGAGTTTATCATGTTTTAATGTTTCCAGGATGCTTAAGATATAGGCTCTATCTCCTGCTTATTTCTTGAGCAATCTCTTTCTTGACCATGGCTTTATACATACTTGACATACTAATTGATCTCAAATAGGTATCTTTAGTCTGTTTCTCTCCTGACTCATCAGGTCTATTTCCTTTCTCTAGACGTAATAGAAAAGGCATAGGTTTAGGAGCCAAATAACTTTTATTTCTGCGCCTGAGTTTGTCACAATACTTGTATGATCTGGTCATAAATTACTTTAAGGAGTTTTAGTTTTATATTTCATATGTTGTGAGAATTAATTGAAATAATGTGTCCACAAATGTATATAGTTCAACATAGAAAGCTTGTTTATATAACTGATTCATTTTTCCTTATCTCTGCACATCAGTATGGGAATTTTCACATTAATTACATTGTTTTAAGCTTTTTTGCTTTATTTGTCTTTGATCCTTGAAGGCAGGGATGATCTTTGTAGGTCTTTGTATTTTGGCAGTTTAACATACAGAATAGCAGATAGCAGGTACTGGTTGAATGCTTGGCACCCTCCCGCCCCCCGCGCCCAAACATAAACAACAACAACAACAACTTCAGAGAAAGATATAATAGGAATGGGATACACATTGCTGTTGTTTCAGAAGCAGTCAAAGCTAGAGATAAGGAATTGAAACCTGGCTAGGTATGGTGGCTTAAGCCTATAATCCTTGCTGTTTGGGAGATGGAAATTAGGGGACAGTGGTTCAAGGCTAGCCCAGGGTTCGAAAGACATTGTCTCAACCAATGGCCAGCTGAGTTGGCACATGCCTGTTATCCCAGTGACAGAGGGAAGCACAAATAGTAGGATTGTAGTCCAGGCCAGCCTAGCCATAAACCAAAACACCACCTTGAAAATAACCAAGGTGAGAAGGAACTGGCAGTGTTGGTCAAGTGGTATCATGGCCCTAAGTTCCAAACCCCAATACCACCAAAAAGACAAAAAAAAAGAAAAAAGAAAGAAAGAGTTGATACCTGGGCCATAATATAGAGTAGGAAGGAAAAAACAAAGCCTGTGACTTGTAGACAATCTATTCTAGGGAATTTAAGGTAGAGAAGGAAGCATTGGAGAAGTAGGAAGATAGCTTCCAACTAAGACAGAGGAGCATTATAAAGGGTAATTATAGGAGAGTACTTTTAAGTGGAGGAGTGGCTAATGGGGTCACGCTGCTGGGAGGACTTTTGGATGTACATTGTGGTGAGTTACTGAGTAGTTTGGTCAGAATCCTGGCTAACAGGGAATTAGAATATGGATGTTTGAAAAGATAGAATATGTAATGTATTGATGATTTGATTAGTAAACTGGGATGAAAGGTCGTAGGAAAGTAGTACGGAAGCTACAGAGAACAGGTTGGAAGAGGTCAGAAGAATTGAGGTATTGGTTAGAATGGGAGACTGGAGGCTGTAGAAGTAACAAGAGGAGTAGTTAATTTTAGACTTTACAAATCCTCTTATGTAACTCCCTTCCCCTTCCCCCATCTTACCCTAGGTCTGATTTGAGCTGCCCTAGAAAGGGATTCATTGAAGGAATGGGCTTGAGATATGGCTTCAGGAGTGAGCTATTTTGGACACTTTACATAGTTACTATGAGGTTGGAATTGATCAGCTGGTCAGCATAGGTATAATAAAGACCTGGGTTATAATAAACCATGAGATTATTTATCAAAGGAGTATCAACCAGTTGAGATTATTAACTCTTAAAACATATTTACTGTGATAATTATTCACTAGTGTTCTTTATTTTGGAGTAAGTTATAAGGAGCCAGGGAGTAGATTATGAAAATGTTTGGAAATCTTTTATTGAACTTCTAAACCTGAATAATGATTAAACAGCAGGACTTTTTCTCCCTGACTTTTCAAGTATTTGATTAGTAAAATCAATAGTTCAATACTAAGGAAACCTAATTATTTCTAATGTTATTATTTTTCTTTAAAAATAGGTTGTTTTAAAATAAATTTTATTTAAAATATCCACACATTCAGATGGCTACTTTTTATTTTCTTGTAAAGGTTGTGTGGGGGTGGGGGGAATAACAGTTTAGACATGTTCCTGGGCTTGAGGATTTGGAAAGATAGGTCTGTTTATTTTGGAATTATTGACAGAATTTATTGGTTCATTTTTTTCTCTTCCCTGGGACTATGTTTAGTATGTTGAAGGCCTTTTTATGGAGTTCAAAGTGGCCCTCTCTTGAACTATGGGCATAGACACTAATGCTTTTTCTCTGAATACATTACTATTGGTTACTGAATTTTTTTTTTCTAACAGCTGAATATCCTGAAATTTACTACATTACAAAGATTTTCTTCCCCCTTGGGGGAGAAAAAGAGTATTCAGAGGATGTTTTTAACTTATGAGTGATAGTTGGTTCTTTATATGTATATATAATGATGAGCATTTATCTATATAGCTGGGGAAAGGTAATTAGCTTTTTAGTGAAATTATTTTTTTCTAGGATATTTGAAATACCTACCTCATTTCTTTTCCTTCCTTCCTTCCTTCCTTCCTTCCTTCCTTCCTTCCTTCCTTCCTTCCTTTCTTCCTTTCTTTCTTCCTTTCTTTCTTTCTTTCTTTCTTTCTTTCTTTCTTTCTTTCTTTCTTTCTTTCTTTCTTTCTTTCTTTCTTTCTTTCTTTCTTTCTTTCTTTCTT